AAACCTCTTTCTTAGGGCTGCAGCAAGTTGACTTGAGCAAATTTAAAGTTCTGGGCCACCCCAGAAAACTGTGTTAGAAAAAGTTCCTGTGCCAAAGCAACTTGGCAGCAGTGCAGACTGAAGAGACAGGGAGCTCGCCAGGAAAACTGCACTCGGGGAAGGGGTTTGTCTGGTGGTTTTGTTGGTGGCTTATTCTTACCTCATGCTTTCCAGGAAATATGGTGGTTTTTTTACTACCCCTGCCATGCTGTTGTTGTGTCTCTGTGCTCTGCCCAGTAGATATAAACCTTTAGTGTCTCTATACTACTCTAGCTACAGCAGCAGCATGTCAGCAGCCTGAAGCTCTGGGCAGCCTATTGGTAAGACCTCTCCACCTGCTATCCCTTCAGCAAAGGTATCTGTTATAGCTTTACCCTACACTGCAGTCTGTTATATACAGATTATTGCCAAGTTTAAGCGTTCAAAATTAGGAGTCAATATGACTGCCAGACGGTGTATCTTAAGTATAGGTCCCTGCTTCGATGATTTGCAATGGAATTATCTTGATGATAGGATCCACAGTACCCCCCTTTAAATGCCTGTGGTGCCCCCAGGGGTACAACACAGGTAATGTCATACCCAAGGGTTTGACCTTGAACACTGCCGATCACATTTCATTACAGGCAGTTGTTGGCAGATTGACAAGGCAGCAGCAAATTAGAGTTTCTCAGAACACCATTATCATCTGCTGAACTACTTTGTGTTATTACAAGCATGGAAAGAGACATTAACAATACACAATAAGCATTTTCTGCTGAAGAAAATGTTGACCATAACAATGCAATTCAGTCTTAAGAACAACAGAGCACTGGAAACACACAGCCTTGGCAGATTTGCAAACCTGCTCAAAATCTCAAATCCAGTTCTGAAAACAACCTCAGATGGCCCTTACGGAAAAGTAAATGAATATGCATCATGCTTCCTTGCAAAAATCCATGACCAACTTTGTTCCTTATGCACAGACTGCCACATAAGCTGCAACACATGGACAATGCTGTAGGCTCTCAAGTAAACAGCACAATGCCAAACACCAAGTGAGTTTTAGTTGCCCAGCCAAGTAGTTATTATGGTCTAATTCACTTCTCCATGCATTGTCTGAAATACAATGGGTGTTTACACTGAAATTGTTATTTTTGCTAAACTAATTAAAAGCTCTTCCTCTCACAAACCATCTGCCTGCCCCACAGTTTGCTTGCCTCTGCTAGTCCCTGCACAGCTGTTCCTTCTTGAAACATCTGACACCTGCAAATGGCCTATCTCCCCCCACTTTAGACTTACGTATCTGAAATTCTGTCCTGTTAGGACATGTACATTTTATGCGAGAAGTGTTAGGGTGCAGTAGATGCATCCCACTCCTGAACAGCCTTAGGATACTTCAGTGAAACAATGAAAAAGGAGTCAGCATGCTGGTCAAGTTGGTGTACAAAAGTATTTATGACTTCTTGGAAAAAATCCCACTCTGCAGTTATGTTCCAGACCTGATAATTTTATTCTGCTAGACAGAACATTCTTTGTGATTTAGCTGGATATGAAATACCTTTGTCTTTAGTGATGTCGATTTTCAGCTGTTACATTTCAGTTGTAAATGAGAGTTTCCCTATATATTTAAAAATAAAAGGTCAGATGGTTTTAAGAGAACTAACTACACACATCTCTGTATAATTTCTATACATTTGACAATCCTTTCACACATGCATACTGTGCTGGGTTTCTGTGATGGCATTTTGAGTAGTGGGGGAAGGAGGCTAACAGCAGGGGTCCCTGTGAGAAACCTTCCCCAGTCCAAGTCAGACCCACCTCTGGCCAGGGCCAAGTCAATTAGCAACAGCAGTTGTGCCTCTCACAATTTATTTAAGGGGAACCGGAGAGGGGGTTGGGGGACTTGTAAGGAGGAATTATGAGAAGGACAGACACCCAGGTGGAAGGAAGAAGGGATCAGAGACCCCTATGTCTTGTGTGAGATGGCAGGGCTGCCCCCCCCGCCACCCATGGGGGTCCATGGTGAAGCAGAGACCAACCTGAAGCCTGTGGAGGAGCCCACACCAGGACAGGCACCTGTGCTTAAAGGAAGCCAAGGCTCAGGGGGGAGAAGAGGCTCCTGTTGTTGTGGTTCAGCGCTGGGAAGACTGCAACACCTGGGGGTGACCCTCACCAGATGAGCAGGGGAATGGCTGCAGCCTGTGAGGAGGACTCACACCACAGGTTCATACAAGACTGATTCCAGTGAGGAGGGAGCCACGTAGAACAAACAAGGAGTGTGTGGCATTCACCTCACCTCCTGAGAAGGAAGGAGCAGTGAGCTGACTGTAACCCCCATCCCCCGCCCCCTGTGCCATAGGGGAAGAGGTAGAGAGATCAGGAGCAGAGCTGAGCCAGGGAGGAAGGGAGGGGTGGGGGGAAATTTGGATGTGGTGGCACTTCTCACTGTCCCACATTGTCTGTTAAGTGTTATCTTTGTTAGTGTTTGAATTAAAGTGATTTTTTTTTTTTTTCCTTCCCCTAACAAGTCTATCTTTTGCCCCTGACCATAATGGGTGAGCCACCCCTCCCTGCCCTTATCTTGATTCCTGAGCCTTTTTGCTTCATTCTCTCCTTCCCCCGAGAGGCAAAGGGAGGGTGAACAGCTGCCTGGTGCTCAGTTGCCCTCTGGCTCAAACCACAACACGAAGTTCTCAGACTTACTATATAACATAGTTCTACTGCATGCATGTTTTAAAAAACTCAGGAATTTTCTGGACAATAAATGAAACTTGGCCCTTTTAGAACACTTTTGAACAGCAATTAATGCAGCAGCACAAAACTGACAACACTTTCTTACATTAGTACTTCTAATACAGTAGGCATAGGGAGATTGTTTGATTGAGCTCAAATACATCCATAACAGAGAGAGCACAGATATGGGTTTAATTCCTATGCCACAATTCAGCTGTCACATCAGGTCTTCTCCCACAGCATGTTTTTTCAAGAATTTATAGCAGCAAACTAGTCTCTCTGCTAATGCATTAAAGTTAATAAAACCACAGTAGCCCTGAAGACTTTAGGTACAAGTATATATATCGTTAAGTGGCACATGCTTTTTGTTGTAAAAAGTTCTACAATTACAGGTGGGCCAAATGCTGCAATACAACCATCAGCCTACATGAAGAACTCACATTATTTTTTACATAATCTATTTCAACACAAGTAAGGATCCAGCTACTCAAAGGACTGTGTCTTGTCATTTAAATAAAAATCACTTCAGGAAAAGTACAATATTTAAACCTAGCAGGCATTCTTGACCATCTTCATGAAAATAAGGAAGAGCCAGAGGCAGATGATGTATGCTCATTCTGTATTTGTTACTTTCTGGTAGTTCTTTGTTCTAACAGCACCTGTACTGCAACAATTCCCACTCACCTCCTGCTCTGTGAGAGTGGCACTTGCTGTCTCAGTTTGATTAGTCTGCCTGGCCAACTAATTATGCAACAGTGCTCTCTTCCCTTCTACAGTCTCTACAAATGCAAACCACTTCTGATGTTTAAAAATAAAACCACCTCTGAAAAACGACAGTTAACTATGAATAACTTAGTCTTTATGCAGTGGAATTTAGTTTATTACAACAAGTTAAAATGTATGTGTTTCCTTATTCATTATTCTTGAATAACTACTTTGACATGAAAATTGCTTACAATGAGATAGGAGAGGTTTAAGTCACTTGACAGTATCCTTTCTTTTGAACAGAACAACAAGGTTACTGTATAAAGCAGTTATACAGCATCCAGTTGTTCATTTTTTCTTAAACACGGCATCAGTGCAAGTTAAAAGCACACACCTTTGTCACCATTTCCGCACTAATGAAAGAGATTTTGCACCCTCTAGAGCACAAATGGGAAGATTTAATCTTTCATTTACTGTTCCCAGGAAAATATGCCTCACTGTGGTTACCAGATTCAAGGTGAAATAGAAGCCAGAAGGAATATTACTTCTACAATGGTTCTAACATTCCCTGAATGTCACAACTGATATCAGTTGCAAAACATCTATTAACTTACTGACACCCACAGGGAGAGAATGAGACATGGAAGAAATCTAAAGGTGCCAATCTGATGCCTCCACAGGTGTGTTCATGCATAACCTGAAGCACCCATTTTGGGAAAGCCTGACAGATCCATAAACCAGAACCCCTCTGAATACCTCTGCCTTCTGAAAGCCACTCAACTTGAAGATCTCCACAAGATATTGCAGTGGCCACCATCTTCTAAAGCCTAACCTTGGAAGACGGTGTTACTTACAGAACAACCGCCGAGTTTACTCAGGACTGGAAAACCTGTATTCAACTTACTCTCCTCCTACCTCAGTGTTTTCAACTGCAAGCATTTCCCCCAGCTCCCCATATGGAAGCCAGATAAAGTCCTTAAAGTTTTAGTGGTTTTTATTCCTGTAAATCCTTCAGAATGCTACTATCTTGGTAAAAATGTGCCTCATCTCTGGACACATACCAGAGCAGTACTCTGAAAACAAACACTGAGTTTCCTTTCATAATAGCTCTGAAGTGTTGGCTGCTTTGTCTCCATCTGATTTTTAGTACAGCTGCTATCAGGAGCACTAACACCCCACCTCTAAGCCAATAAATGTATTTAAGAGACTAGTACTTTGTACTTACTTAAGCTCTCATCTACACACCCTGGACAAGTCTCCCTTAAAAGACTGAGGCAATTATTTTAAAACCCTGAAAAGCACAAATCTAAACTTTAAATCTTTACTATTATTACCTATTCTTGACTTTCTGAAGCCTCACCAACAACACACAAGTTTTATTTTGCTTTCCTTATCCACCAAGACCACTGTTCTCCACAATTCTGTGAATCTAAGGAGTTAAAAACTGCCCCGGCATTCCCTAAAAAACTTGAAAGCTTCCATCTACAGTAGACAATTGAGTTACAAGCCTAGAACTAGCCACTCCCCACTTAAATAAGAGGTTGTTTTGATAAGGCAAAGATTTATTTATCAATTTCCATGTATCATGTCAGACCAACTGATATTTACACGGTTTGAAATACACGGTATTTGCATTTTATACAAGCAATTAAGTGCAGCCTGCATTAAGCTTTCTATGCAGTACCCAGATAGTCCCACTGCTAAAAACCAACATCTGTTATGCTTCTGCAAGAGTTTCTATACCTGAGAAGCTTTAGTATATCCTTTCAAAAGGAAGTCTGCAATTAAAAGCCACACACAAGCCTGTTTAAAGGTTGTCATTCCAGTTGCAAGTGATTTGCTTCCTTTGAAGCAAGATCTGATATACTCTCCCTTAAGCCACATGATACTCCTGATGGTCTTTCTTCAGAAGTGCTGTCTGCATCATCTCCACAGTTAAGCTCTTCATTTTCTTGTTTGGATTCCTCTAGACACAGACTTTTTGGTGTCTCAAAATTGTCAGGTGCTTGCCCAGTTAGCCTCTAGAAAGAAACAGAAGACAGTGAACTTAATACTTTTTCTACTTAATGGTCAGTGAAATAAGACTGTGCATATCAAATTAAGCAAAGTAATTACTTTTATTTGGAGACTGTTGATATAATTATAACATTCCTCAGTCACAAAACTCAAATTGCTACCTCTAACTCAGACCACATCTGCTTTGTTGACTGTCAAGTCTTCCTTAGGTTCTTCCACAGGACAGGTTTTACCTTAGGCAGTCTAACATATGGGAAACTGCTTCCCAAGTTAAATATTACTACAGTACTATGTAGGTTTCATTTTAGAAAAATTACTATACAAATTAAGTTAATTTTTTTATCAGAGATAATGAAGCTACATTAAGTCAAGATGAACTAAGACGGAGCAGTTTCTAGCACTTGATGACCAAACTAAAAGTTCATCTATTCTGATCCAAGGAAGAAACACAGGACTGTAAAAGGCTGCTTTTGAAGCTTCTGCTTGTTAGATGTCTTAAGGCTCATTGAAGCCTCAGAAGTGAGCAGCTTACAACTAATGAGCGAACTTAACTCTTGAGGAACTACAGAGAAGTTTCCAACTACATTAGTTAAGTCCTTAAGTCATTTAATTTGTCTGTGGATTTGTTATCACTAACGAGCAGCATTCCCTGAATATCAAAACAATTTCAAGTGTAGCCAACTAGTGAAATCTTTCAAGTCTGATCTAAATAATTGAACAAACTGAAAATTAAGTTGATCAAGTTGCTTACAATAATCTTCCATTTTGTTTCCACCTCCCCAGTCTATACAGAGTACCAAAGTATTTGCCAGGCACCCAGATTCTTATCCCAGTTAAGAGCTCAATCCCTACAACAACCACCTAGCTGATGATTTCAGTATCAAGGTTCCACGGCTATGTATTTATCACAGCTTGAGAGGCTGTTACAGACAACATACTCCTGGTAGAGGAGTCATGGAATCAGTGACAACTACCTGTCCCCCAACAATTCTCAGAGGAAACTGTTCTGAAATTTACAAGTTCATGAACCCTACAGACTTTGTGCATTAGCCATTTTTGAGTCACAAAACTGGCAATTCCTCAGAGAAACCTTGAGTTTCAAGATCATAGTTGCTTCTTTCTCCCTCACTGTTCTACTTTGTGTGCCCCTGCTTCAAGTTCAGTTCCTCAAAGGACACAGACAGTACAAACACTTAGTTTAGCCAGTAGCCTCACACAACCTATTAAACATTTGAATTTAAGTCATCACAGGAAAGTAAAAAATGAACCCTTCCTTCCCTTGTCACAATCTCTAACATGCAAAGCCTGTTCTGTTAAGACAACAGGTTGAATCTCCCCTTCAGAAAACATCACTTAATACCTTCTCATTACTCCTGTGGGTTCTAAGGTAGAAAAACTCGTCCCCTAAAAGTGGCTTTAAGCCTCTGGATTAGAGCAACCCCACAGGAAACAAGTCATTAATTTAAAATGAAGAGTTGTGTGAGCACATAAAAGTCATGAATCATTAAGAATATCTCTGCTGGTTTCTCGCATTTTCATTCTACAACATTAACTGAAAATTCCTTTAAGTACCTCAATCATGCTGGTCATATAATGTACATGTTCAGCGAGGGACATTAGCTCTTCGTTTTCTTCTTTTAGGCGGGCGATTTCACCATCTTTCTGTTCGATTTCTTTGTGCAACTAAGTTGAAATAACAAATGTTAAAACAGGAAGACAATAGCCAGTGGTGAAGAAGTTACTTATCCTTCACCAGCTACCTTTTCATTTTCTTGAAGCACTTCATACAGAGCCTTCCTCCTTTCTTCAGCCACTTCTTTCCAATACTGAGACGAAGGACTTCCTGAAGTAAGAAGCTACAGTAAGTCTGTGCTAAGACTGAATTCTTGAGATCACTTTAAGATATTTAACTTGTATGCAAGTGTTCTATAAACTGTGATAATAAGAACTCACTCTGTGTAGTGTTTGGTCTTCAAGAAGCTGCCTCAAGCATAACAGCAGGCTTTGCAAGATGGTCACATTTGCAAATGTCAGTCTTAAGGTATACTTTGTGGAAGGCGTAAGTCTTATTTCCAAATCACTGTCCATGTTGGGCTTAATGGTTCTGAGAAACTGCACACAGCACACTATGCCAAAACTGACCTTTGTTTCAGTTTTTAGTCACTTGAAAGCTTGTAGCCAAGCCAAAGTAACAAACTACAACACTTCCTAATGCTGCTGCACACAATGCTTCTCAGCTACTGCTTACCATAAACTAATTCTTAAACATTAGACATCTACACTGTATTTACTATAATATAGAGGCTAAGTATCATTAATTCCTGCCAGGAATTACTAAAAAACATAAATCCATTATCTAGCTGACAAAGGAACCACATTTCATGTTAAAATGCCATGCTCCCATTGGAATATAAGTGCAAGAACACATTTCAGGAATCACCACATACCTTTTATCATGAGATCTACTGCTTGAATGACATCATTCATATTCTCATTTTCTTGCTCCTTGTCCACAGACACCTCAGCTTTACAAGCCTTTAAGGCAGACTTATTATTCCAGAGTTTCCTTTTGACTAAAGATTTCTTCTGCAAGAAACAAGCAGGCAGAGCAACATTTCAGCTTTTTTAAAAATACAAACTTGTAAGCCTGCTTACTCATGGCTGCCAATAAGTCTTTATAAGCCCCACTTTCTTCACATTATAGTTTACAGACATCTTCCTTGATACCCAAAGGTTTAACAAAAGAAATCCTCAAAACATTTTCCAGAAGTACTCAGAAATTGCTAGCTATTAATATAGTTTATTACTAAAATAATAGTAAGGTTAAGCTGTATCATACTAGTTAGCAGATTATGTATTTTTTCAACTATACTAGTTTTGAGTTAAAAGCTCAAAAGTATTTCACTAAGAAATAATTACACATCTACAGGTTATCTTTTAACTCATACCTCATTACGTCTGCCAACCAGGCAACCTGATGCTGAAGGCTGAATCATTTTAAGAGTCTGTCTTGGGGCAGCACTGCATGTGGTGTCTGTCAGGTACTCCTAAAAAGACAAATACAGCTTCAGACAGTTGCCACTTCTCTACATGATCTGAAACTTAGGAATATGTCATGCTTCCATTAGTGTAACCCATCGTTCATCTTTTAAGGACAGAAAGATGATACTTTAGTCTATGTTAAGGCTTCTGTAAAGAAGGGGGATCTAGTCATTTGTAGCAGAGATGGATCTTAGTCATACGAAGCTATGCTCAGTCCCTGCCTCATAAAGGAACTTGAACAGGTTTTATAGCAGAAATATGGCTAGATTTGAAAGCCAGTTACAGTGCAGTGACACACAAACTTCAGATGAAGCTATCAGTTTTATTTCACTTTGGGGGGCGGGGGGGACAGAGACAAAAGACTTGCAATCACAAGTTTATGTGGTAAAGTCACACAGGTCACTTCAGGCAGTATGTTTTAGTACCTGTGGCCAAACCCTCAAGTGGTGTTCATTCAAACAGATGTGTTGCTTCTATTATCCATTAAAATGGATCTAAAGCTTCCTTGCTTCAACCTAGACAGGCTATTGTTTTATATAAACAGTAGGTTTATCATCTTTCTTGTCATGCATAAATAGCCATTTCCTGCATTAAAGCTTTCTGACTGGGCTGGTTACACTGCCACCATGGGATAGCAAACAGTGGCAGACAACCAAGCAAGAATAGTCAGAATACAATGCCACACCAGCGTGAGAAAGTTACCAATTCACACTGTACTTCGTTCAACAAGAGTTCGCCTTTCCCACGGTAGTTTCTGCCACCAATTATCCTACTGTTGAACTACTGGACAAATGCTAACTGCTGTGGGAACAAGAATCATACAGTGTATCAGACACCGCTCGCTGCTATTGAAGGTTAGAGTTAAGTATGCCCTGCCAAGAAATTATTGACTAATACTTGAGTTAACCCATTGAAAATGCAAAAGCCACACTGAGGAATTTATACCCTACAGTCACTGTAATGCAAGATGACCATGTGTATAGGTCAGACTTATCAATCGGCAATTGTCATTAATACCGTAAGTTTATTACAATCATTCTATCCCTCATGATAGAGGGCTACTAGCCTCTATTTTATATGGCATCTGTACAATTCAGATTAGAGACTACATTAAAAGGTTTAATAAGAGTCCTGTAACAAGACTGGAATAGGTATAAACTTCAGTAACTTACAAGTCACCTCTTAAAAAGCCTAAATCCTTTACCCATTTTCACCAATTCCAAGGCAACTACAGTTCATGAGAGTGACTTTAGAAACAGAACTGCCTGCATGAATGCTTCAGTTAAACCATGCTCAAGTCAAAACAGATTTTAAGTTCATCCCTATAAAGGGCAGACTACCGAGCCTACTCTACAGCTCCTCAGCAGCCAGACTGACTCAGTAACTGAACTAAGGCAGGTAGCCAGCACCTAAAAGACCAAAAATATCCCATGGAAAGACAATAAGCTCAGTGTCAAAGTAAAAAAAGAGTCACTGAGCAGTAAGAAAAAAATAGTCCCAAACAGGCCAGCATGTTCCCAAGCCACACGGCCTGCCAGAAGGTTACTCAAGCCAACAGGACATAAGCCAGGTGGATGCATATTGCAACAGATTCCTTTATACTCTTTCGGTGGATATAAAGCTTGTGTTACACAGAGGGACCATTTCCCAGAGAACTGAGTGCAAACTTCAGAACAAAGCAAATTCTGTGCGTGAGATATTCCTGATGAAATTGGGGTTTTTATTTTCTATTCCTTATCTGCTCCCATAGTCTAGCTTCAAGACTTTAAAACCTCTACCTGCAAGGAACTTGATGATTTTTCCACGTTCAGTTTCTGTTTCATTTTGGAATTCATAGGACCACTGTAGGGGGAAAAAAAAAATAATTAGTAACATCCGGCTGCAAGCGACGTTCAAGGACGCTAGTTAAGAGTATTGCAATTTCAGTTTATTGACTTTGATGGCAGCACTAAAGACTCAGTCACGAACCGCGCGGCCAGCAGGCTCCCCCAGAGCCCTGGGAGCCCCCCCAGAGGCAGGCGCAGCCGGCGGCCAGGAACGCCAAGCCCCGAGGAGACACGCCGTGCTAGCCCACGCGGTCAACCCTCCCCACAGGGACAGCGGGAAGCGCCACAGGCCCACACCCAACATGGCGGGGGGGGGCGGCGGCACCCTTCCGCTCCCGCCAGCCCCGGCCGCAGCGCCCCTCCTCGCTCGCCGGCGCGGCCAATGGGGAGGCGAGGCGGGAGCCCGCCGAGACCCGAACGCGGCCATGAAAGCCTGAGCCCCCCCCCGCCCCCAACGGCTCAAATGGGATGCAGCGGGCACCTCCCCCCCCCACCTCACCACCCGCTCACCGCCAGGCACCTCGCGCGCTCCCCGCCAGCTCGCGCACCCCAGCAGCCGCCTTCTCCCGCCCACCGCGCGGCTCTAAGAAGCGCAGGGGGGCGGGGCGGGGGCCACGTGACCCGCCGGCCGCTCTCCCAGCCAACCGCTAGCTGCGCTCCCGCAGGCGGAGCCACGCCCCGCGGGCCGCTGGCGGGAAGGGGAGGGGGGGAGCGGCCTGAGGGGGCCAGGGGGGGGTTCGGGCCGGGGGGGCCTGGAGCCGCAGGAGGTAGGGCAGAGCAACTGCTTCTGCAGGTGGCCCGGGGACAGCTTTTCGTCTTGAGGAAGGTGGGAGGAAAGCTCGGAGCACAGCAGTGGGAAATGAGGCGCCTCAGCTATGAACTGCGCACCCTGGCCCTGCCAGTGCCTCTGGCGGGGGGGAGGCACAGACCTGCGTGGTGCAACCTGCCCCTCGGCTGGAGTCGCCTGAACTGAAGCTGTAGGAAATGAAACACCAGCATTGCCAGGCACTCATCTTGGCTATTACAACATTGCGTAGGTAGCCCACTGGCTCCATATTCGAAATCTCCCCCTGGCTTGGAATTAGATACAAAGTCTCTCTGCTTTCTCACTCCTATTATTTGTTGTATTTCATACAAGACACTGTACCAGACCAAATACAGTCTACCTGTCCACTTTATTGTCATCACTCCTATCTAAATACAATACAATCTTCAAAACCAGGGAAGCGAAGCAATTTGGTTAAGCCACAGCAACTGATATACAACAGTAATTTTACATATGCTATATAGACTACAACTCTCAATTATGCCTAAGGAAGAGCAACTGATGTCATTTATCTGGACTTGTGCAAAGCATTTGACACTCTTGCACAACATCCTTGTCTCTAAATTGGAGAGACATGGATTTGATGGATGGACCACTTGGTGGATAAGGAATTGGCTGGATGGTCACACTCAAAGAGTTGCAGTCAACAGCTCGATGTCCAAGTGGAGGGCAGTGACAAGTGATGTTCCTCAGGGGTTGGTGCTGAGACTGGAGCTGTTTAACATCTTTGTTGGTGACATGGACTGTGGGACTGAGTGCACCCTCAGCAAGTTTGCCGATGACACCAAGCTGTGTGGTGTGGTCGACACGCTGGAGGGCAGGGATGGCATCCAGAGGGACCTGGACAGGCTGGAGAGGTGGGCCCAGGCACACATCATGGAGTTCACCAAGGCCAAGTGCAAGGTCCTGCACATGGGTCAGGGCAATCCCAAGCACAGATACAGACTGAGCAAGGAGCAGACTGAGAGCAGCCCTGCGGAGAAGGACTTGGGGGTATTAGTGGATGGAAAACTGACTGTGAGCCAGCAGTGTGCGCCCACAGCCCAGAAAGCCAACTGTGTCCTGAGCTGCATCCAGAGCAGTGTGGCCAGCAGGTTGAGGAAGGTGACTCTGTCCCTCTGCTCCGCTTTTGTGAGACCCCACCTGGAGTACTGTGTTCAGCTCTGGGGTCCCAACATAAGAAGGACATGAACCTGTTGGAGTGAGTCCAGAGGAAGCCACAAAGATGATCAGAGGGATGAAGACAAGCTGAGAGAATGGGGGTTGTTCAGCCTGGAGAAGAGAAGGCTCCAGGGAGACCTTTTAGCAGCCTTCCAGTACTTAAAGGGGGCTACAGGAAAGGATGGGGAGGGACTCTTTATCAGGGGTATTGTGAGAAGATGAGGGGTAAGAGTTTTAAACCGAAACAAGGTAGATTTAGATTAGATATAATAAATAAATTCTTCACTGTGTGGGTGGTGAAGCACTGGCACAGGTTGCCCAGAGAAGCTGTGGCTGCCCCCTCCCTGGAAGGATTCAAGGCCAGGTTGGACGGGGCTTTGAGAAACCTAGTCTAGTGGAAGGTGTCCCTGCCTGTGTCAGGGGGGTTGGAACTAGATGATCTTTAAGGTCCCTTTCAACCTAAACCATTCTATGATCTATGATTTTATGATTTCAAACCATTTATCAAGATCAAAGTATTTATTTAGCATGCCACTCTGTCAGTCTTTTGTTTGGAAATAAACTGTGTGGCACTCATGAGAATATCTTAAGGGGAATATCATGGCCCAATGAAGGAAAGGTAGAACATAAAAAATGATGAATTAGGAAATCTTTAAACAAGGATAAGGAAATAAAGCTGATATCTCTTGCATAAACGTCTTCAGTCTCCCATTGACCCATTTAAACTTTCATTGTCCACAATATCCTTTGGCAAGTACTTCTAGAGCTCAAATAGCTACTGTCTGATGAACCCCCTCCTTATTTTTTCTTTTCTTTTGAACCCAATTCCTATAGCTTCATTTGATGTCCCCAGTCCTTGTACTGGAAGAGACAACAAACAGTTGGTCCTCATCTAGGCCCCTGTTACACAGATTCCCCTCCAGTTCTCTCTCCCAGGTCTACTTAGTCATCCCTTACATGAAAGCTGTTCCATCTTGCTGCTCCTTTGCAAACTGTATGCTGTTTGATTTGCCTTTTTAACCACTGCTGAACGTCAGGCTGACATTCTCATGGAAATGTCTGTCACAACTCTGAGATCTGATTCTTGAATGATGGTCAGTTCAAATTATGTCATTTGATATGTGAAATTAAGATTTTTTTTTCCTATGTATGTTCTTTTACGTTTATCTACATTGAATTTCATTGACTCCTGTATTCGCCAGTTACTCAATTTCATAATGCCCTCCTGCAGCTTTTCAGTCAGCTCTTACTATTATCCTGAATAATATAGTGTCATCAGCAAGCTATTGCCTCAGTAAGCTCTGTCTTCCATCAAGAAAATTTAAATAACACGTGCAGAATTGTCTATCTAAATTACCATTGTTCTCTTACAGCACTAAAAAAAAAATATAATTCATACCTTTAAGTTAATTTAATTCTTGTTGATTCTAGAAGCAATTTTGAAATTTCCATATTCCAAAATCCTAGCAGATATGCTAAACTCTGGTCAAATATACACATAAATCTTAACAGCTTTAAATCTCCTTTCAGAAAGATCTGGTTACAGCTAATGTGTACATAAACACAATATAAAAACTTTCCTATTTTTATGTTGTATGTATTGTTATATATCAATATAAATATGCAATATAAAGGACACTGTACAAAACATTTAAATTATATGCATGCATATGTATGTATTTCATGGCTGTGATACAATTTTCATAATACTAATGTTTTCATGTGAAACTTTTTCAAAGATTACCTTTACAAAATTCAGTTTTAATTCATAAAAAGTTTTCAGGTCGGTTCACAGCTCAAAAGTGGAATAACTGCTTTTGGAAATGTTTATAATTGGAAGGAACCGAGGTAATGGGAGATGGTTCTGATGTGACAGTTCTGTTTGTTTTTCCTTTTAATTTGTTCCTTGCTGGAGGCATACGATCTGGAGGTTTATTACAAAGCTGCCACTCCTTCAATTAATCCAGCTGAAGAACATTTCCTATTATGAACCACCATGTCTCAGAGCTTTCCTTCAGTTCTGCTGCTTCAGTTTGAAAGGTTTGTAAAGAATCCCTTCACCATATCAGAAGGAACACTGAGAGCTGATGATTAGAAGCTTATTCATAGTCTTAACTGTGGGAAACCGGTATAATTAAAAAGTTTCAGGTTACTTTATTGTAGTAATTCCCATTTTTGTGGCTGAAGGTTAAATTTAAATAGGGGTTTTGGCATTTTTACATGAAAAATCTGTCAGCCCAATGCTAGCAGAATATATATTTCTTCAGATTGAGTGGAATATAATGCATTTCAACTTGTTTGTTTCATAAAAAAAAAAACCTCTCTGTCATGAACACTTATGATTATTTGCACTTCAAGTGAGCCTAAGCAAACACGCCGAGGTTTCCCACAGAGCTCAGCCAATTTGCTAGATTACTCATGGCAGGAGAGAATGTGTACTTTTTAGAGCTTTTATTCTCCCTTGCTATTGATAAATGTTATCAGGTTTTATAGCAGATGAAAACTGGAAGGAAAAAAAAAAAAGTTTCTTGGAGGGCTTCATGCGCCTGGGAACACGGGACTAGGCGGGAAGGCACCACCGGTCACTCTGGGGTCCTGTCTTGCTTAGCCACCTGTGTGCGGCAGCTTCCAAAGCATCATACGGAGAGAGTTTGGACTTGGCTATCTGAATCAAGTACTGGAGAAACAGTATTTCTATTTGACAGTCACATTGTGCCTTTTGTCAAGGCGTTTACTGTAATCCACAGATAACTGTCTAGCTCTGGGGTGCTTAGGGACTCTATTTCAACCTGCTACATTAGGTGCGGGTAAATTACATTGTCATTTTGTATTTTGTGAATTACATTGCTATGTAAATATCGTAAATGCTTTCCTATTTATTGGCATTCAATATAAGCAACTACTGTAACTGTTTTAGATGCAGAGAGATACTGTGGAGGCGGGGAAGGGAGTGAGCGCAGTGCTGAGCCTCTGCATCATCTGGGTGCCTGCCCTGCAGAGGGCTCCAGAGAAGGCAGCCCTGCTTTTGGTATCTCGGAATCCCAAAACAGGACCTTCGGCTCCCGGGCCCCCTTGCTGCTGTTCTCCCGACCCTCCTGCCCAACGAAAAACCCATTTATTTAAGGGGTAAAGCGGCTCCCCGCGACCCGCCGCATGACACTAGGTGGCAGCGTGGCATCACGTTGCCTAACGCTTCCCCGCCCGCAGCGTCGTGTTTCGGGGTGGCACGTCACGTAGGAGAGGGTTTCGTGTATTAGCGACAAGAAGTTAATGATTTGTCTACTTTTCCCCAGGTTAATCAGCACGGAA